GATTTCTTTTTCCTTTTTAAGGTATGTAATTCTCCACTCCAACAAAATCTTACCTGAAAGCTTCCAATACGGTTGTAAGAGGATACAATGAAAACCGCTGGCTAATGCTTCAATGGGCCCCTACCATCACCCCGTTCCCCTCCAATTTTCTCTCACTGGGCTTAAATGTTCACTGCTCTTGGAGCTAGGTAGCTTGCCTGTTTTTTTCCTTACATGTTTGTCTAGAAATCTATTTTCCTCCTGCATTGTTTACCTCCAAATTGAAACAACAAAAAATATTGTTGTGAATGCCACTAGGACTTTTGGCTTATGATGTAATTAATGCTTTTTCAATCAAATCACACCCTCTTCTTCCCAACACCAACCTGAGGCTTCAGGGGGTAACTTTCATTCCCTTCCTGAGAAAGTAGATTAGTGGTTGCCAGGGGCTAAGGAGAAGTGACTGCTAATAAATACAGGTTTGAAGGTAGAGGTGGTGAAAATATTTTGGAATTACATAGTGCTGATGATTGCATGATCTTGTTGAAAATTCTAGAAACCAAAAAATTGTGTACTTTAAAAGGGTAAATTGTGTACTATGTGAATTATATCTCAATTTTAAAAAGCCTTTCACATCTTGGCTCTGTTAGAGTAGATTAAAAAGTGAATAACATGGAATTATAGACTTTGTTTAAAATATCGTTGTAAATAAGCTTTGAGAAGAAAATGATTACAAGCTAATTAATCTTAATCCTAAACTTTAACATCCTTCTCTTTTATGCTCTAATCTGGTGTTTTTAAAAAATGTTTAATTAATAGCTTGCCTTGTGTTATTAATGTTATTTTACTCTCATACAGTGATACACTGGAGTAGGGGGAAAAGGCCACGTGGTGGTGTTTATCTATAGTTTCTTTGCTTCTGGCGTAATCCTTGAGGCTTACTGGTAACTTCACTGGTTGCAGCAAAACAGATCTAATAAGCACTTCTGTGTCTTCCTTCACTTGCCTCCAAATGTTAGGAACACATTCCATGACTAATAACAGAAAGAACCCATAAATCTAGTATTTTCATTTTTGCCTCTCAGTGTTCCTAAAACTTGGGGATAGATGTTTTAGGAGCAGGGATGATGATTTGTGCATTGATAATGAAGAAGCAGCAATATGATTGCTTTATGGTAGCCTATTGTAATCAATACAATTGTTTTACAACAGCATAGACTATACATACTAATAAATGGTTATAAAATTTTATGGCAAATAGTATTATAGTCATATTCATAATACAGTATTGGAAACATTGTTTATTTCTAGAAAAACCACTTACTTGTAATGATAGGTTGATAGCCAATTTCTCCAATTATTAGAGAGAGGTATACTGTATAGTAATATAATTTTTTTAAAAGCAAAGTTATAAAAGTTAGAAAATGAACGCATTTCTTTTATATTAAATATATTACTCACTTTATACCTATTAATGTAGACTATCCACTGCCATACAAATCTTACACATGATGTTCTCCATGATGAATACTTAAGCAATGATGATGATAATACAAAAATGTCTCATACAGTTGTTGCTGTAGTTATTAGATTTTCAACGAAGATACATGTATACACAACAAACATTTAATAACTATGACATGAGTGAATATTTGGTATTCATTTAATGGACTTGGATAATCATAAAGATCTTCATCTTGCCAGGCCAGTGTTTCTCAGTGGTTGAGCATCGTCCTATATATCAGGTCACGATTCAATTCCCAGCCAGGGCATGTGCCTGAGTTGTGGGCTTAATCCCCACAAGGGAGCATGCAGCTGATCAGTGATTCTTTCTCATCATTTCTCTATCTCTCTTCCTTTCCCTTCCTCTCTGAAATCAATAAAAATATATTAAAAAATAAAAACTTCGCCAAAACAGGTTTGACTCAGTGGATAGAGTGTCAGCCTGTGGACTGAAAGGTCCCGGGTTCGATTCCGGTCAAGGGCATGTACCTTGGTTGTGGGCATATCCCCAGTGGGGGCTGTGCAAGAGGCAGTTGATCGATGACTTTTTCTCATCAATGTTTCTAACTCTCTATTTCTCTCACTTCCTCTCTGTAAAAAAAAATCAATGAAATATATTAAAAAATAAAATAAAATAAAAACTTCATCCTTGTCTTTTTCATGTTGAATAGGTTGAGGAGGAGGGGGAAGAGGAAGGGTTGGTCTTGCTATCTCAGGGGTGGCAGAGGTAGAAGAGGTGGAAGGGGAGGCAGGGAAGGGGCAGGCACACTTGGTGTAACTTTACAGAAATATATTGTAGTTTTGTCTATTTTGCTTTGTCATTTCTCTAAAAATGTTTCCATAAGGTACCAATCCTCCTTCCACCATATGCTTTAGTTTCAGTGCCTGTATCATAGAAGGGTCCATATAGGGAAAGCCAAAAGCAGTCTTTTTTTTTTTTTTTTTTTAAATATATTTTATTGATTTTGTACAGATAGGAAGGGAGAGAGAGAGTTAGAAACATCGATGAGAGAGAGTCATCGATCAGCTGCCTCTTGCACACACCCCACTGGGGATATGCCCACAACCAAGGTACATGCCCTTGACCGGAATCGAACCTGGGACCCTTCAGTCCCCAAGCCAACGCTCTATCCATTGAGCCAAACCGGTTTCGGCCAAAAGCAGTCTTAAATAATCAGAAATCTTTTGTCTCACTGTCTGTTATCAACTGTTTCTGGCTGTTTTTCTGTCGTCTTCCTTGTAGTCTGACACTGATTCAGAAACACTAAACTCCATCAAGTTGTCTTCTGCAAATTCTTCTGGAATGCAGTCTATGAGCTCTTGAATTTCTCCAAGATCCATATCCAGAAACCCTTCTCCATCCACCTTTGCCACATCCACAATCTGTCATACTTTCCCTTGATCGACCCTGCCGTAAATCCTGTGAAGTCATGCACAGCATCAGGGCAGTTTCTCCAGAAGGAATTTATTGTTTCGGACTTGATGGCTTTTACTTTTTGTATAGCAATGGTGGCATCTTCAATGGTGTAATTCTTCCAGACTTCCATGATGTTCTCTCTAATGGGGTTCTCTTCCTTAGCACTGCCAATCCTTTCCATAGAGTACCATGTGGTAATGAGGTTTAAAGGTCCTTATGAGCCCCAAATGCAGAGGATGAGTCAGAATTCGTTGGTTTGGGGCAAGCAGACCACTTCAATATCTTTGGTGTTGAACTCATGGGGTTTTGGGTAGCCAAGGGCAATGTCCAATAGCAAAAGAACTTTAAAAGGCAGTCTACTAGCAAGATACTTCCTGACTTTAGGGACAAAGCATTGATGGAACCAGTCCAGAAAAAGGATTCTTGCTGTCCAACCCCTTCCTGTTGTATAACCAAAAAGCTGGCAGCTGGCGTTTGTCTTTTCCTTTTAAGGCTGGAGGTTAGCAGCTTTACAGATAAGGACAGTTAATCAGAAACCCCACTGCATTTGCACAAAACAATAGAGTTAACCTATGCATTCCTGCCTTAAATCTTGGCGCTCCTTTCTCTTCCTTACTAATAAATATCCTCTGTGGCATTTCCCTCCCAGAATAGAGCACTTTTGTCTGCATTAAAACCTGTTCAGGCAGATATCCTTTTTCCTCAATGCTTTTCTTAATGGCACCCGGGAACTTGTCTGCGGTCTCTTGGTTGGCAGAAGCTGATTCTCCTGTTACCTTGACATTTTTTAAGCAAACTGCTTTATAAAAGAATCAAACCATCCATTGCTAGCATTAAATTCTCCAGCTTTAGGTCTTTTACCTTCCTTTTGCTTTGTCATAAAATGACTTTGATTTTTCTCTAATCATATTAGAGTATACAGGTATGCCTTTCTTATAGCAACCCTGCACACACATAAAAGCTGCATTTTCAATATGAGATGAAAGGTATTTCACAAAAAGTGCAGGACTTTTTGCCTGCTGGTGTAACTGCAGCAACAGCTTCATCAATTTCCTTTCTTCTACAATGGTCCTCAGACTGGATTCATTTATCTTGAAATGGCAGGTAACAATAGCTTGCAGACCTCAATCTCCGGGACATATGAAGCAATTCAACTTTTCTTGCAACGTCATGACTTTTCTTTGCTTCTTGGGTGCACTTCCAGCATCACTAGTGGCATTTCCTTTGGGTCCCATGGTGCTTGCTATTCAAGGCTTACGGTATTGCATTAACACGAAAAATAGGTGAGAACTGCGAAAGATCAATTTTTACTGTGATATGCAATATACTGGAGAAACAAACTGCTCACATGGAGAGGATGAACATCACAGGTATTTTAAGCAGATACTCGCAACACGTGGGCTCACCACAAGAACAACAGGAGGTATTTGCGAAATTATTACAGTATTACAGCATGTACTACAATTAAGTAACGATTTAATAGACTGATTACCAGAAGCCCTACCAATAACATGTAACGTTTGTTTACATGTCTCTTGACTGCTAATGGCACAGTGAACATTCTGTAACCTTTTGGAACATAGGATGACTCTCTAACAACCTGAGCCATATTGGCCAGGGCTCTCCAATTAGATTTTAAGATCTTCAAGAATCATGTCTTCTTTTCTTGTGTACCCCAAACTGCACCTAATAGTCTACACAGGCATGTAGTAATGAATGGTCTACTGTCTGACTGGGGAGAATGAGTACTAATATTAAATGCCCACTTTGTGTAAGGCACCTAGGCTGTGCTTCACACATTATCATGATCCTTTACTATTTCCATATGTAAATGAGGATATTAAGACTAAGTTAAAAAAAAAAAAGACTAAGTTTCCTTTGGTCACAGAGTTAGGAAGATGAAGGATGTGGGAAGGGCAGCTGAAACTAGTTCGCTTGATTTTATAGCCTTTGCTTTTTTAGTTTTTCCACTGAACCAACTGAGAGCATGCCTAGAGTAGGGCAGGAAATTTAGAACAGAGAATGGGTAACGAAAATAGTTTTTCTTTATAAATTTTACAAACACTAAAATAGTTCAGGACTCAAAATTGTTGGCTCTTACCTTGATTACCTCTGGAGTCTGCTGAATCAAAACCACGGAAGTAGTGTCTTTCATTTTATCACCATCAGGATTTCTACAGACTGATAAATTGGCCTGGGAAGAAGTTGTCAAGGTTTCCTGTAGAATTTGCATCATTTCCTTTTCTTGTGATAAGCTCCCTCTGCCTGATTTGCATTCAACTAGTTCTTGAGCAAAGTCTTCAATGCTTTCCAGGATTCGCAGTAAGAGGGCTCGATCCTCTTCCTCTATTTTGTGTCCATTGGTTTCAATGATCCTTGTTAGACAGGAAGGTGAGACTTTTTCCATGGGTGAAGAGTGTTTAGATTTAGGCTCAAGGTCTACAGGGAGCTGATCAGTCAACTGACCATGATTATTTAGAGAGTTAGAGTTTTTACTTTTGGCAAGTGGCTCTCTTAGAGAGGTCTCCATTCTCTGTGAAAAAGATTCCAAATCCATTAATAATTTATCTATCTCTTCCTTACTGTTAGAATTCATAAAATCTCTGTGGTCTTCCTCTTCACTTTTAGGAACTTTTGACTTAAGATCTTCCTTAGGTAGATTAACTACTGGTTTCTCAAATATCTTACCAATTTCATTTTGTACTGAGGCAGAATATTTTTTAAGATGACTACCATGGTCTGAAAATTCTGCTCTATTTTCATTTAACTTCAACAATTCCTGACTGAGTCCATTCTCTGCCCTTTGTCCTTTACCTACCGCTTTCTTTCCATCTGACTCTTCTTCAATATAAAGGGTTTCCATTAGGTCACCAGAAGAAACATTTCCTAAAGCATTCACGGTTAATGACTGTGACTGAAGCTGGACATCTTTTAGATTTCTGGGATCATTTATCTCTAAGTTACATAAAGAATTTGTAGAGTTGTTTGGAATGGATTTTACAGCATCTGGTTTCCTAGAACTATGCTTGTCATCTTGTAATTCTATAGTTTGAAACTGTCCAGGGTAAGGGGCTGAGAGCTGGACAACATCTTCATATTTAGGGGGCTGCTCAGTGCCAAATACTGGGGAGAAGGGAGTCAGTTGTAAACTAGGCATATTACTGATCAGTTCTGTTAAATCTATAGCCTCATTATTCCCAGATTGCATAAGTTCAAATGGTAGCTTTTTCAGATAGGATGCTAACCTGGTCATTACATTCATATAGACAATTTCAGAGCTAGAAACTGCATCATTACCATTTCCTTCATTGATGCTACTCCCTGACTTTTTCTTTATGCATTGTTTTATAATGTCTGTGCATTTTTTCAAATCCTCAGAGCATTTCAGCAAGATGTCCAAGCACACCTTTATGTCTGTTCCAGAAGAAAAATTATCTATTTTATGTTTTTCCAAAATCTGAGTAACCAGGTCTTCTTCAAAGTTGTGAAGAAACATCGAAGTCAGGTTCATATCAAGTGAGTTTCTAAGGGACAAAGATTTTTCCTCAACTGAGGCACTCCGGAGTAAACCAAAGGATGGTGAGTTCCCATCATTGTTATAATGGCCACAGAGCAAGTCAAAATCAACTGACCTCCTATTGAATGAGTCAGACTTAACTTTCCTTCCCTTTTTGTAAGCTGCATGATTAGAGTTTTTGAGTTTTTCGAGAGAAAATTCTTTTATTTTCCCACTGGCAAAACTGATTGCTTCTCCTGCAATGTCCTTTAAGTTACAGGTATTCTGAAATGTAGTTCCTTTCTTGATCCTGGGTATGCCTGCGAGGGCCTGATGGGGACAGTCACTGTCAGTTGAGGAAAACACATTCTCGTGGGGTAGAAACACGGAGTCCAGATCCACATCTTTGAACTGAGACACGGGGATGTGTAAGTCTGCACAGACGCTACGATGCACCACGATGCAGTCAACTCCGTGTGCGAAGGTGTGACAGGTTCCAGTGCAATAATGTATAGCTTGCTCAAAGCGCCGGTCTATCACCACACTGCTGTAGTGGTTCACAGTACTAACCACAAGTCTGTAAGTTGCTGCCATAATATTAAATCCACTTAGTGGTGGGACTTGAAATTTTCTAGAACTTGTTTCAAGTAAATTCTCCTAAATGACACTCAGCTGAAAATATATTTGACAATGTTCAGTGGTTTCATGCAATTATGACAACCTTTCCCACAAAAGGAAACCATCCAAATTTGAGGTTTGGTAACTGTAAGGATACAGTAGCTATTGCACATATGTGCTTGTAGTAGTTAGTCTAATAATTTAATAATTGTGCTTTTTTGTTTTATTTAGTAATATCATGATATAGGAGTATTTTTATAAAAAATATCCCTTTTATATTAACTGTTCTTCAGCAATTCTATGATGCAGAAATTTATAGTCATAAATTTATTGTCGTAAATCTTAGTTGGTAGTATACAAGTGTTGTGATAACTGAGTCCTCCAAAAGTTTAAATGATCCATTTTTCTGTGAATGAGAAGAAACCTAGAAAGAAAAAAGAAAATAATTAAAAGAAAATATATTGTGATACCAAGAGAACCTTTTATTTCCTCTTCTTTGCATCCCTTATGTAGTTAATTATCAAGCCTTATTCTTTGCCATTATCACTGACTGCTGATCTTTGATTCATGCCTTTATTTCATCAAACCTTACACTCCTTACTACCTACAGAAGTTATTACCTCAACTTTGCCTTGTTACAATTGCCTCCCAGTTGGTATTTCTTATCCCACACTCCTTACCACTTTACATGATACTAACAAGTACTTCCATCAAAGTACTTGATTGACAACACAAATACTTTTATTTGATCTAAAACTTCCTCTGTACTTGGAAATTATTCTCCCAACATCCTCTCTTTTCTTACTAAGAAAGAAAGAACAAACAAGACCTCATTACTATTCTTGATCCCAGATTCTCAAATCCTGCCATATGCAGGATCTCTTTCTCTCACCATCAAGAAAATAAAACTTATTTAATTGTTCTCTTACTTAAAAAAAAAGGGGGGGGGGCTTCTAAATTATGTTGTAGTCGCTTTCCAAAAAGGTTCAATTAATGTATCAATGTATTCACTCAGTCAATAAATACTGAATGCCAGGCACTTGCTAAATGCTATGAATATGGAGCTTAAACATGTAACTTCGATGGTAAGATGTGCTATGGAAAAAAAGGAAGTGGGGCAAAGAGTTTAGAAAGGAAGGGAGGATCTGTGTTATATAGGCAGTAAGGGAAAACCTCACTGACTCATTAACAGAGACCTGAAAGAAGAGAGGAGATATTTTGGGTTAAATCATATCAGGCAGATTAACCATTAAGTGCAAAGGCCCTGAGGTGGGAACATGCTTGATTTACTAAAACGACAAGGAGGCTAAAATGACTGGAGCAGAGAAAGCAAGGAGGGCAGTGTGGGAGATGAGGTCAGAAAGGAAAGGTGGGAATCTAAAAAATACAGTGTCTGTATATTACTGTGAGGAATTGGGCTTTATTCTGAGCAAGCGCGGTAACAACCGATGACTAGTGAGCAGAGGAATGACATGAACAGACTTACATTTTAAATTGGTAATTTTGGATATCGTGTTCAGAGGAGATTGTAGAGGAGCAAGATAAGAAGCAGGGGGGAAAGTTAGGGGCTATTACAATAAATTAGGCAAGAAGACGAGGGGAGTTGGACCAGGAAAATAACAATGGAGATGTTTAGTATATATTTCAAATGGTATGCGGAGGGACAGAATGTGAGATACTACTGTATCAAGAATGATGCAATAAGGCAATGAAAGCAAGGAGATGGTGACAGTAAAGAAGGAGATCAATAGCATCAATGCACCATCAATAGTAGTGATGTTTCAACAATAAAGCTTTTACCTATTTAATAATGAAAAAGAACTTCACTGCTTTCATTTTTACTTTTTCAATCTAGAAAACTGTTTTGCTTACTCTCTTTCTTCTTTGGTAAATTGTCTATTGTTGATTTAGGCATTAGAGATTTAGTAAATACAGATTCGATTAATGCGATTAATTCATGAAGAACCCTTTCTTTTGCTGAATTCTTATTCTGGTTAGAGTATATTTCCTGGCTTTTTGGATCCAATGATTACTCTGTTTTTGTGCCAATCTTACACTATTGTAATTACTGTTGTTTTATGTAGTTTTATTCCAACAATATTCCTTATTTCTTTCTTTGTGGTTTTCTTTAGGTAGGTTACCCTCATTCTTCTTGTCCTTCACTGTCTTAACTTTGTTGCTATGTCTCATCCTCCACTTCCTTGATGACTCAAACTAGATACATGCAGGATGGGGGAAGCTGAAGCAGAAAGAAGTTCCATAGTAAAGGAAGTGCCCAGTAATTTTTAAGTAAAAATACAAAGAAGCCAACGAAGAATAGTGCTATGGGACAAAAGACTAGAACATGGCAATTATAGGAATTATCTTCTCAAAGGGTCAGGGTCTATTTTCCAAACTTCTGCCTATGTGGCTCATATGCAACTTCCAGAGTCCATTCAACTCTTACTAGCACTTCCACTTTAAGCAATCCATGATTACTCTAACAAGTACTTCACAGTGGTTCCTGACATTACTCCATAGTAAACTGCTATATGGCCATTGCTGATGAAATGGATTTGTTGTGAAACAAAGGGACAGAAGCAGCAGTCAAGAAAATGGTATAAGACTGAATTTTGAAAGAGCCTTCCTAGGTGAAGAGGGATTAAACTGGACCTTGTAAAAAAAAAAAATCCATAATGGCACAGAGATATGAAAAGACCTTGTGTGTTTGGTATTGCTGAATTTGAAAACATATAATATGGATTTTACAGTTTTAAGGTCTCCTCCAAACAGTAAGTACAAAATTAAGAATGCAAACTGCATCTTTAAAAGTCCCAGGAGACACTGTAACTCTAAATCACTGTATATGATAGAAAACAGAAGCAAGAATGGTAAATGACTTAGCAGAGTAGAAGAGGAAGGGATACTAATGGCAAGCAACCCAATTAACGCTGCACAAAACCCAAAAAAGGTCCAGATTTGGAGGTACTAGGTACCATAGAAAATGGGCTAGTGTGGAGGATTGAACATAGGGGGATTATTTGAAATTTTACAAAGGAAAGAGACCTCTCCACCTACACTGCACAAACTCAAAAAATCATCCCTTCTTCATCTTGCTGAAGATAGGATATTTGATGGTAAAAACAAAATAAAACAGAAAAGCTCCAAACCCAGGAGTATCACACTCAGAGGTTAGTAAAAGACTGAAAATTGAAATAGGTACATTCTTGTCTTATTACATTCTGATCAATAAATCTATCAATCCTACCTAGGTCAAGATCACAAGAAACCAAGCTTATGCCAGGACCGGTTTGGCTTAATGGATAGAGCATCGGCTTGGGGACTGAAGGGTCCCGGGTTCGATTCCGGTCAAGGGCATGTACCTTGGTTGCGGGCATATCCCCAGTAGGGGGTGTGCAAGAGGCAGCTGATCGATGACTCTCTCTCATCGATGTTTCTAACTCTCTATCTCTCTCCCTTCCTCTCTATATGAAATCAATAAAATATATATTTTTTAAAATAGATATATTTAAAAAAAACAAACAAACAAACAAACAAACAAAAAAAACAAGCTTATTACCTCCAGCTCCAGCCCCCATTGTGGATTAAAGAAACCTTTGCTGGAGTTTAGAAATCCCATCTAACCACATGATCGCCTTATATTGAAGCCCATTAATTGACAAATGTTACTTTCATTTTAAATCAATTTTACTGATGCATAATTTACATATTCTAAAAAATGTACAGATTTAGTGTACAGTTCAATTTGATTTAACAAGAAGTATGTAACTACTGCCCTAAAAAAGATAGAACATTTACATCACCCTAAAAATATCCCTCTGAACTTTCCCAATCAATTCCCCTAACCCTCAATATCTGTCAATCACCAACCTGATTCCTATCACTATAGATGAGTTTTGCCAGTGCTAGATCTTCATATGAATATAATAATAAAATATGTGTACTTTTCAGTCTGGCCTCTCTTTCAGCACAATGGTTTTGAGGTTCATCCATATCTGTATGTGTCAACTGCATATTTCTAAGCAGGTATTCTATTTGGCTTATCTATTCACCAGTTGATAGACATTAGGGTTTGTTTCTAATTTAGGCTATTAAAAATTAAAGTTGCTATGAACGGGCAAGTAAAAGTCTTTTTGTGGATATGTGTTCATTTCTTTTGGGAAATTAACAATGGAATTATGAGTCATAATAACTGTAAAACTGTCTTTCAAATGGTTCACCATTTTACACTCTCATCAACACTTGAGAGCTCTAGTGGTTCTACATCCTTTGGATATTTGTCATTTTTTAAATTTTAGCCATTTTAGTGGGTATGAAAGGCTATCCCACTGTGACTTCAATTTACATTTTCCTAACTACTAATGATGTTGAGCTAGCAATTCATCTGTATGTTTTGTGAAGTGTCTTCAAATCTTCTGGATTCTTTGATTCCCCAGTTCTAAGAATTCACTTATACATTTGTATCATGTCTTATCATGAAGTTTTTATCTTAAAGTGGTTTTTTTTGTAGTTCTATATTTCCAACTCTTATGTTTAGCTTTATGACCTATTTTTAAATTAATTTTTATGAATGGTTATAAGTCTGAATTTGAAGATCATTAACACTATTTATTTATTTATTTATTTATTTATTTATTTATTTATTTATTCAAAAACTGCCCAATGAGTTATATTGGAACCCTTGTTGAAAAAACAAATGGCTACATATATAAATTTATTTCTACATTATCTACTCTTGTGTCTTTTTAAAAAAAATATTTTATTGATTGTTTACAGAGAAGAAGGGAGAGAAACAGAGAGCTAGAAACATCAATGAGAGAGAGACGTTGACCAGCTGCCTCCTGCACACCCGCTACCGGGGATGTGCCCGCAACCAAGGTATATGCCCTTGACTGGAGTTGAACCTGGGACCTTTCAGTCCACAGGCCAATGCTCTATCCATTTAGCCAAACCGGTTTCAGCTCTTGTGTCTTTAT